CTTCTTCCTCCTTCCCACCCAACCCAACCCCACACACACACACACACACACACACACACACACACACACACACGCACACGCACACGCACAGCAATGTTTGATTTTTTTCCGTCCCCCAAATTGTTGTTTTCCTCGTTTTTATCCCAATTTCTTTTTTGCCCATCGCTACAGCGACATGTGTTTCTCCGTCCCTGCGTAGTGCATTCAGGAGCAGCGCGCGGTGCACCGCGAACCGACCCGCTCGAAATTCGATCGAGACATCCAGCGGCCGTTATGAAAGATGCAGTCGCGACCCGCCAAGTAGCGTGGCACGTCGAACCGGCCTCGTACTGGCCCGGGTGCGTAGCCGGCGCGTAGCTCGGCGGGTGCAGCCGCGCCCTGACTCTGCAGCTGCGGACTCTGCGCCTGCGGATCGTCTGGCCAAGTACGGCCGACGGCTGCGGCGACGCCGCCAATGCTGGTGCCGGCAGCTCCGCCGGCGGCGGCGGCGCGCTGGACTCGGACAGCAACTGTGACTTCGATACTTTGATGTTCGATGTTCGACTCCGGGGGTTGTACGGATGTGCTGGGGGGGGATGCTGTGCTGGCCTCTCCATCGAATCCCGCCCCGCCGCTTTCTTCAGAGTGATCACTGGCGGCGGTGGCGGTAGGATGGACGGCGGCGGCAGCCGCCGATGCAGCGGCCGCTGCCGCCGCCGCGGCGGGGGATGTCTCTGGGTCGTCGAAGCTACGGGAGCGCACGTGCGGCTGCGGGCGCTGCGGCTGGAAGTGAGGTCCAGGGAAGGCTGGCGGCGGCGGCGCTAACGCTCCCGCCACCAGCCGTCCCAGCCCATAGGAAAGCCTCTGTTGTGGGACCCGTGGATCTATCCATGGCGGCGGCGCCGCCGCCACCACGTACGAGTGCCCTGGCATGCTGTTGCCGCGCTGGCGCGGTGGCGGTAGCGCGCCGTACGTCGGGGGTGCCATTGCCGTACGCGGTGGCGGCGGCGGCTGTGCCGCCGACGGCGCCGCTGATGCGAAGGGATGGCGTCGCATACGCAATGGGGTCGCTGGGTCGGCCGCCAGTGAAGACAGATCGTACGGCACATCGGCCTCCGCCCCCGGCGGTGGGTGCAAGGGCCGCAGCGGACGTGCGGCAAGGCGGGGACCTGCAAACGCACGCCAAGGACCCTCTTGCAGCCGTATGGGCATGGGTGGCGGCGGCAGCGGCGGCGGCCCCCGCGACGGATGCGGCGCAGTGTGCCCAGCGGGAGCTATGGCGCGGAGCACGCGCAGCGGCGTCGGCGGTGGTGGCGGCGCCGACGGCCCTGGTTCAGCCTCCCCCTCATCGTCAGGCAGCGATTCAGCTTCAGCGTATAGGGCCCGTGGATGCAGGCGGTACAACGGCAGCTGTGGCGGCGGTCGCTGATGCGGTGGGGAGCTTCCGGGGGTGTCCGGTCTGGATAGGACGATGGGATGCGACACGACTTGTCGCGCACGTGGCGGCGGTGGCAAGAACAAGCCCGGCGGCCGTGTAGACCAGTGTCCGCCGCCGCCGCTGCCGCTGCCATAGCTGGCAGCTGCGGCGGAACTACTGCTGCCGCCGGCGGCGGCGGCGGTGGCGCGCAGCTGAGGGTGGGGTGGGGACGTACGATAGGACTGCAGCAACAGTGGCGGCGGCAGTGGCAGTCCCGCCGCCGCCGCTGCTGGCGGCGGTTGACGCTGTTGCTGCTGCCGCTGCTGCTGCTGCTGCTCCGGGTGCTGCTGCTGTTGCTGCTGCCGCTGTTGTCCCATTCGGAGGCCCCGGCGGGGGGGGATGAGCACCCGCTGGTACTGCTGCTGCTGCTGAGGGGACGGATGCGGGGCCTCTTCAGGGGGTTGGGGGTTATCGTTCTCCTCGTCACTCGGGTCGGTCTATACGGCAAGACGAACGGCAGAGGGATTGGAAGCAAACACAAAAAGGGCCAGCAGCGCAGGGGCGGCGGGATATTTTCAGCGCCAAAAGTCCGCGAGAGGAAAAGAGAGAGATAGAGAAAAAAAAGAGGGGTGGCGAGAGAGAAAGAAAAAGAGGGAGGGAGAAGCGGGGGAAGAGAAAAAAATAATAGCGGATTGTGTGAGGACAGGAGTCTGGAAACGGGGATGGTAGTTGAGGGTGCGCATGGGCAACGGCTATGTGGATACAACCCTGGTAGGTGCTTTTGGGTGGGCGGGTGGGCCGAGGCAATGTGGTCAAGCTTAGCGATGTGATGAAGTGGAAGCGCTCGCAGCTTTACATCGCAAGCAGGCAACCTACACGCTAGAGCAAAGGCGCCTGCCGTGTTGGTGACGTCACCCATGAGTAGTAGCAGCAGTAGTAGCAGTAGCAGCAGCAGGCCGCTACCAGGGGGGCCAGAAAGGAAATAACCTTTAAATCATCCCCCAAACCGGTAATTAATATGTATTTTTTAAATTAAAAACATTCATGGCTGCAGCGGCAAAGATGGGTGAGATTCGAAAGCATGAAGGCTCCTTCCACTATCTGCGAAAGCGCTATGTGCCAGGATCAAAAGGAGGGGAGATGGCCGAGGGGTTACGAAGGGAGAGCCGGAAAAATCGTGGGGTAGTTGAGAGACTGGCGGTGCTCACGTGGCCGAGGTAGGCCACATTAAAATCAGCTAAGCGGCCAACTGACGACAACTCAATACGGACTGTTAGCCACTATCAACTTCCCGAATGCTTGGGCATTTACTTGGCCATATTCAGTGCGATTTCTTCCTTCCTCCCTCCCAACCTTGATCTGGCGGCACACACAAGCACTGCTCGGGGAGGAGCAAACAAGGGCCCAAGCAGCTTTGAAGCTTCAATCTATTATGTCGTTTTGACTGCTCGTCTTCGGAACGGGCTTTGCATCCTTGGCTCCTTGTGCGTGGGCTTTAGCGGGTTGTGTGTATGTATGTATGCGTGTGGGTTCTGGGAAGTCGGTTCTGGGGTTTGAATGGGTAAGTTCCTCTTCCGGCCTCTCCGGTTTCCTAGCGGCAACACGTCGGCTTACTCCCAAGTCTAAAGGAAGGACTGCATTCCAGGTTTGGAAAAAGAACATGGCTTGCTGCTTGTTCCATGCTCCAACGGCGTTCCGTTCCTCCCTCTCTCCGGCTCTGCATCCCTCCCTCCCTTTCCCCTCTCCATTCTCCTTTCTCCCCCTCCCCCCCGACTCACATCCCACGCCTTTCCCTCCCTCCCCTGTCCTGTGTCTGCTGCCTTCGCGGCAGCTGTATGCGCTATGTGGCTCTGACCGCCGCGACCACCACACATCCAAATTCTTATTTCTAATTCGCTCCCTCATCGGCTTCAGGTATCACCTTACTTCTTGGTTCCGAAAGGCGCGAAGGACAAAACCCAAATAACCCGGGAAACCGACACGGGCACGTGTCCACTAAGCGTTCTTGTCAGCCTGCTTTACTTTTCAAGCGCCCGCATTGACGCTCGATTGATTTCCCAGATAACCTTCGCTCATACACACACGCGGTGACACGCTCCTCCGCAGGAGAAAAAACACGCGCAGACACGCCAAAAACGAGGATGGCTAGCTCCGGCAATATTTCCAACATCTCCAACCTAGCGCTACACCTAGCGGTTCAGTAGACTGGACCAACACCTCAGACACAGGCGCGCGCGCGCGCAGGATACGCAACAGGCCATGGAAAGGCCTGCGAGGAACGTGTTTCCTTAACTCGTAAACAGGGGCAGGAAGAGTTAAGAGTCTCAGCGGGGGAACGTTTTCTCCCCCAGCCCCACAGGTCCCGTCATTCATTCATATGCCCCAATCACAAACCCGAACCCCAATCAAACGGTCTGCCTGCTGACCTTGGCTGGTAGCTTGCCAGTTCCGCTTTGCTTTTTTTTGCCATTTTTAAAAAGTTAAAATGACAATAAAAGGAAAGACTTGGAAAGGACAAGCACTTATTTTGGGCGGTGGATCCCATCGACCGATGCGTGTGGGCTTATCCAGGGGCACACACTCTTATGTTTTCATTCCACTGGAAAGCCCACCCACACCGGTAGATGGCCGCCCACTATTGTGACTCTGTGTTGGACAGCATGTCTGTCACGAGCAGGGGTGCAAAAACTGAACACACGACTGTTCGTACGGCAACCGAGGCCTGGTACTGGGAGCTGGGGATGACTCAGCATGGGGGAAGAGTTAAGGACGGTGAAAAGTAATCAAATGTTTGTCCATTGAATATATATATAAAAGGATTCAGAGAGTGCAGCTCTCAATGACTTGGCAAAAGGGTTTTAGAAATCAGTCAACGAGTGAGTGTTCGGGGGGCAAAATAGGTATATAGGGTGTTGATGGTTGTTCGTGATTCAACCCCAGACGAAAGATCCAGCGCGCTCGCACCTCCATGTAAATGTGAACCAGAGCACCACACACACGCACACTTGTGTGTGCGCGCGGGAGCTATAGCCGCTGCGGGCAAGGGCCTATCGAAGCTTCTGACGGGACAATTTGCGAGCTACTTTTGGCAGCACCAACAGCAGCAGCAGCAGCAGCAGCCGCGTAAAAACAGCCCTCTATCAGAAACCGTTTTTTCCGGCACAGGGGCATGCCCCGCGGGCGCTCCTCAGGTTCTGGCGCTGCAACAAGATTCCGCCAGCAGGCATCTTCGCTTCTGCAGGGGGGGGAGGGTTTGGATGGTGGGGGGGGGGGAGGAAGGAGGCGCACCCGGGGAGCCGACCCGCAAGGGGGTTGCAGCGAGCGGGGAGGGCGGGGACGGGCGTGAAATAGTGCCTTGCAAACGTTGGGCGGTAGGGTGAATGAACGGACCATGCAAAAGCTAAGCCTGTTTGATATAGTGAGCTGAGGAGGGAGACAACAGAAGCAATGCGACCCAACTGCCACGGAGCAGATTTATGATCAGCGTAGGAACTGTCTTTTTCAAGCGTGACAGGAAAGCGGCCCGTTGGGTTTGTAGGAGCCGCGACCTCGCGATAGCCTTTGTGCGTAGGGCTTGCCCCATCTACTTTTAACGGTCCAGGCGAAGAAGGCCAACGCTAACGGACAATAAAGCGGTGTCTAGTGTACACTGTATAATGTAAATCGTCTTCACGTATCTATCTTTGAGGCGACCCTATGCTGGGATATAACTAGACGCGACGACGGAGAAACCGACAAGAAACCGTTCAGAATGATTTTGGACAGCGAAACGCATCCTCACAGAGGTTTACGGATGGTGTCAAACTATGTATTTTTAACGAAAAATACGCAAGCGTTTGGTGACCTCGTTGTGCCACATAGTGGCTGGTCGCATGGCGATATTACCACAGCCAAACAACCGTCAACCCGTTCCCAAACAACAGAACCCACCTACCATTTTACCTTAGTGTAAACTATCCTTAGATGCGATGCAGTTAATTAGGTTGGTCTACTCTATGGGCTAAACGCTGGAGCCAACACCCAGCGGTCAGTGTCGTGGGCCGGATTGAGCCTTGTTGCAAGAATACAATCAATTCAGCTCGATGGTTGTAAGTATGGGCCCTTATCAGTATGAAAAACGACCTGAACTGTGCGTCTCATTTGGCAGCCAATTATCAGTGCTAGATGTACAGGTGGTGTAGAGGTCGTGTAGCAAGCCTTTGCGCGTAATGGCCACAGAATTGGATCTTCATATGCGTCGCAAGGAGATACAGTAGAGTCGTCTAACGCTGTGGACGTTGTGACCGTTATATACGACACTTCTCAAATACGCTCTCTCCCAGCCGTGAGGAATATGAGTTGAAAAGCCCATAAAGGGATATTATGACATACTAATTGACCAGGGCTCAACCTACTGCACTGCAACACTCTAAAATGGCCTTGCGTTGCTGGTGCGCGGCTGTGCGCCCGCCAAGCGAAGGGCGAGGCAAGCGTCCCGAATGCCTCATGGAAATTACATACACCCGAATATATACAGATAGGTTAAACTACAGCTATAAGCGCGATTTTTAGGTGTTCGGAGTGTAAGCGGCATGGGAGTTACAGTTTCCGAAAACCAAACGTGCACATTAACGCCATCCATAAGCATTCACAAAGCTTATATTTTGTGCTCGGTTTCAAGTCGCGCATGACATCTTTCCTTAATAGGATGTTACTCTGCAATCGACGCATGTACGTCGAGCCCAATTATCCGCGCCGATATGTCGTGGATAAACCTAGCGCAACCACGCGGTCAGATAACACTTAGGACACATAGCTGATTCAAAGATGGTGAGCGTGTTTCCTTGCCCAGGCATGATCTTCCCTTGCGTGCACAACCCTTGCTTGCAAAGCCCCAAATCGGAGCCCAAAATGACTCTGCAAACTTTACCCAAGACCATTAGCTTGATTTGAATGGCTTAAGGAAACACGTTACATCTTTGCGTGAATCTGTAAGCCGCTCTACTCGTTTCACTGTCTTGCTTAATAATTACTTGTGGCGGCCCTTAAACTGGAAAGACTCCAGCAGAACTGTCGACGACACCATCAGCACCAGCACCCAGCCACGTACCGACCATGCATCCCGGCAGGGTGAACTGCTCCCCCATCGAACCGCATCTCCAAAACATGTTGTGCAGTGCTTCCAGCTAATGACAACTTAAGATGCCCTGCCGCCGTCCCGCGGACATATGCATCAGATCAGGTCCCCCGGCCTGCACCAACACAGCTGATGCCAAGCAGCGCACACATCATTCCTGGCATACATCATTTCTTCATTCCCTTTTGTCTCAGAGCTTCGTAACATATCATCATCCACATCTCAGGTTCACTTGCTTGGAGCTTATGAATATTACCGAATTCATATGATGTACAACAGGTGTACACCTCCCGTACTTGCCGAAGTACGGACATGGACCAAATGGATACGACTTGACGAGCATTATGAATCTGTGTGAAGCATGATACGGCTCGCAACTCACAGTGGCAAGGGAAAGCAGATAACGGCTAAGCCGCGGACGTGGAAGTACTGGAGACAGCTGTCGACAGCTGCCGTGTGTGTGTGTATATGTGTGTAGGTGTGTAGGTGTGTGTATGTGTGTATGTGTGTATGTGTATGTGTGTGTGTATATATAAATATGCCCGTCAGAAGACCGTTCAACTCTTTCTTTGCTGTACAGATTCGCCACTCGCACCGCTCCCACTGCAATCGTGCGACCAGATGCATGGGCAATAAAAAGGAAACGCGATCTGCAATGGCAGGCTGCGGGCGGCTGCGCATGCGGATGAGTGAGACACGCATCCGCTTACTTGCGTCAGAAACCTGCTGTGTGCTCAACACGTCCTCTGATGCTACTGCCCTCGGATGGCCCCACTATCCTGGGGGGGGCCTAGGTACCCCGTTGAACGGTTGCCTAAGTTGCTCAGTAATTTCCCATTTCGGGTGCCTCTGGGCACGGGAGTCACCTCTGGTTGTTTGGCACTGGCTTGGCTTAAGCTTGCGTGGTTGTCGGCGCGGAGCTGGCCTTGGAACTGTGACTGTTTGGGGCGTTTCCCAGCCTTATGTATGTACGTTCTCAGTGACGCTCTTTTGAGGTTGCGCTGGCAGCAGCATTACTGCTATACCGTTAACGACTCCTCTCCCAGCTGTTTCGGTACGGCAATTAATTTTATCCAAAGTGTAGCCCTAACGATCAACTGCTTCCTCCTCAACATATGCCCGCCTGCTTTGGTGGTTGTCTTGGTCGGTGTCTTCCTGACTCACCCTACCCTAGAAGAGTGTGTGTTTGTTGAAGTAGGACTTGTTGAAGGGCCATTAGGCCGGTGCTCAGCAGCATTAGAACTAATGCTCCATGCTCTAGAGCTCCATGGGGGCCGGTATGCGAAGGAGTGAGATAGAGAAAGAAGAGAGAGCATGCACATCTATGTGTGTGCATGTATGTGTGTATGTATGTGTATGTACGTGTGGCGGACACTTGTCGAAACACGACCAGGAAGTCTGAAGTGAGGGAGGAGCCTTGAAAATCTATGCCATAAAAATCATGTTCAGGAGGAGTCGTCGAATAGTAAACTTAAACACTGTTAATAGGAATAATTACCGGTGCTGCCACAAGGTCAAACGACACACACATATGCACACATATGCACACACTCGCAGGTACACACGTCGGATTATACAATTGTACGGTATTATATATTGTATTATAGCTCTTATTATCTACACATACATGCATATATCCAGCCAAAGCAACATCCACATACAGGTTGCTGCAGTGATGCACACTCTCAACAGTGAGATCTAGTTCCGATGTGATGATGTGAGTGTCCTGCGGCCCCCAAGACTGCAGGTGCGCTGTCCCAGTCAGCAGCCGGGTGTGTTGACAACAAGGGATAGAGGATAGATGATGGCCCCGTCGCGGTCTGTCTCCTTCAAGCTTGGAAGGTCTTGGAAGGTCTGGCGGCAGACGGCGCACCTGCGTGACATATGCGGTCGACGAAGGCCAGCAGCAGGTCGGCCGGCCCACCGTATCCATGCCCCCCCGGGCTTTGACGGACGCCCCCCCCCCGCCCCCGCACTCGTGCGGCACTTGTAACTTGTAACTTGTGACATGTATATATGTCGCTGAAGACCCAGCACACTTCCCGTCCCTCCCCCTCCCCACAGACCCCCAGGTAGGCCTTGGGCCCTCCTCGTGCTTTGACGGATATACCCCCCCAACCCCGCATTCGTGTGCGGAACTTGTATGTATGTATGTATGTATGTATGTATGTATGTATGTATGTATGTATGTATGTATGTATGTATGTATGTATGTATGTATGTATGTATGTATGTATGTATATATACCTTTGTAATATATATACATGGAACGCGCGCAGCACGCAAAAGCTGTGCGCGGCAAGATAGGCACAGACGCGACCACCGGCCATGAGTTAAACAGTTTTTTATGCCCAACGCCTCTAAAAACCACCTGCCAGTAATAATTTGATATATATATGTATGTATATATGTATGTATGTATCCACCAGGGCCCTTCAGCCGCAACATTGTATAAAGCTACGGCGCATTCTCAATGGATATGATCACCACCGCGTCCGAGTATAAAACTGTTGAAGCCCAAGCCAAGATAACAGACACCTGCTGCATTTATATACCATCCTCTGTGGCCTTCGGTGCGAATCGCTGGAAAGAGAACAACCGAACAACCTTTTCTCCGCGCGCGCGCGCAAGACGATGCCAGATGACTACGACGATTTGTCACAGCAGCCTGCCGCCCTCCTGCCGCCTGGCTTTTAATCTACCTGCCAACAGCTATTCCTCCCCCCCCACAAGCCCCCACAGGCGGCCATCAAGCTAGCATGGTAGCATTTCGCAGTTTGTTTTTCGTATTTTCGTTCATTCATTTACACATAAACCTCTTAACAACAACGAGCATAACACAAACATGTTGCATCTTACAGCACACATAAAGATAGTAATGCATAGCCCTATCGCGGATTACAATAGGATTTCTTTGAGCCGTGGACCTACATTAAACCCCCCCAAAGGTGTATGTGGAGCGGCCCGCTCCCAAGTCCATGCGGCTGCTCCTCCTGCTTTTCCACTTCCTCCTCCCCCTCGTCCTCCTCCCCCTCCTCCTTCCCCCTCTCCTCCTCCCCTTTTTTCCCTCCTCCACCTTTCCTCCTCCCCTTTCTCCTCCGCCTCTTTTCGCCTCCTCCACCTTCTCCTCCACGTCTTCCCCCCTCCCTCAGCCCCCCTCCTCCTCCTTCTCCCCCTTCCCCCCTTCCTCCTCCTCCTCCTCCCCCTTTCCCCCTTCCTCCTCCTCCCCCTCCCGCTTTCCCCGTTCCTACTCCTCCTCCTCCCCCTTCCCCCCTTCCTCCTCCTCCTCCCCCTTTCCCCCTTCCTCCTCCGCCTCCGCAGCCACCAGTGATGCCTGCCTGGGACTGACGACACGCGGCCCCCGGGCATCTCCGACTACGGGCACGCGGCGGCACTGGTCCCGCAATTGCCGCCGCCGACCTCAACACCCCTAGCTCCATTCACATGCCGCCCTAGCTGCAACATAGGTCAACACACAGGAAGACAAGGAGGTAAAGAAACAGGAAAATTAAAGCAGGCAGTGGTAGGGGTCGTGGTGGGCTCGTGGTGGGCTGGCGAAACAGGCGGTCAAAAAGGGGGGGAGGGGTAACCTCCACGCCGGCCGCGTACAGCGCATTTTCACCCAGCAGCACATCTTAGCAAGGGCTGTCCACAGCAGCTGGGTCTGTCGCCTTCGTGCGCCGCATCGCAGTTTCCGACAGGCACAAGGCCATTGTTCCTGTTGACATACACATACATACATACATACATACATACATACATACATACATACATACATACATACATACATACATACATACATACATACATACATACATACATACATACATACATACATACATACATACATACATACACACACATAGGCCTTTCTCCCATCCCCATCTTCCTGGCCCCCTTCCTGGCCCCCTGTTTCCCTTCATCACATGCTTTAACCCACCTATCCGCTTGCCCTCACACGTGACTGATTTCCCTCCCCGCGGACTTGATTCATCTTTATAACCCCCTTCCCCCCCTCTCCTCCTCGCTTTTAATCCCACCCATGATTCAATGAGACACGCGCCCGGCCCTCACCACCAGAGCACCTTCACAACAAGCAAGCACATTCCATACCCCTCAAACCACGCGACCAGGCGATCATCATCATCATCATCATCGTCCTTACCCGGCGAGACCGC